GTGGTGTGAAGCTCACTATCACGGTCAATTTCAAAGAAATATGTAGGATATGAACAGAAAGGACGAAGAAGATTTGTTCAGATCAAAATCGGTTGTAGATCTTATTGCTCGAAATCCTAATACACCCCACAAGAATACTGCCCACTCCCCCCTCCGCTCCTCCGGTTGAGCCTGCAATGTTCACACAGGATCTTGGAAAACCTGACGATGGCAAAGTGTGTGCAAACTATTTATGCATAGATTAGCCGTAATTCATGAAATTATTATGTGTTTTGTGCTGTGCAACAGCAGTACAAAACGCATATTGTCACGGGGTTGTCTTTGTGTGTTTGTGTGTCTCCGCAGCAATTTGTCCGCAACTTTCAACTCGGGAACCACAAAAGCTAGGAAGCTGAAAATTTAGTGGAACGTTCCCCACTCACGTGTGACCCCGCAAATTTAAATTCAGCTTCCCCGTACCCGCGGGTAACACGTACGGCCCCGTGCTACGTGTGACCCCGCAAATTTAAATTCAGCTTCCCCGTACCCGCGGGTAACGCGTACGGCCCTGTGATTACGAGTAAATTAATATCTCGGGAACCACGGAGTTTAGGAGGCTAAAATTTCAAATTAATGACCCCCTGCCCACGTTCAACCTTGCCCATTCAAATTCAGCCTTCCCGTACCCGCAAGTAATACGTACGGTACGTGAAAGTTTTCTACGGGTAAATTAATATCTCGGGAACCACGGAAAGATATTCACCCTTCAAGGTCTTGAATTCAGCTTTCATGCGCTAGTGCGTGAAATTTTTAACTGTTTTCCAATGTTTGAACTATTTCTGCATAGACTAAAATAGAAAGCAGTGAAAATCATTAATAGGTAATCGTTCGATGAGATGAATTGTACAAAACGCACGATCGCACCGGCTAGTCTGGTGCGCGTTGCTATTTATTTTACAAATGAAACACATGGAACAAAATCTAAAAAAAAAAAAAAAACTAAAAAAAATGCAGCAACCAAACCAGCACGACTAAAGTTATATCTCACAGAGAAAGAAATCCATTCTGAATTAATGCCATCAGTTTCCAAAGCTTAAAAGATCATCCCCCAAAGGATACCGTCTTTTTATCCAAAATTAAACTAATTTTAACCAAAATTTGTACAAAAATTGCAGCTGAAAACGAATAAAAGAAAGCTATTCTGAATAAGAGGCGGCAAATTTCCAAGGCCTAGAGAAGCTTCCCCTAAAGGATGCAGTATTTTCATTACAGGTTAAACTGATTTTAGCAAAAATTTATACAGAAAGTACGGTTACAAAACGAATACCTTATGCCCTCTGGCATTTTTCCCGCGAGTTGATCGCACATCAATAACTGTGTGATATTTGAGTTGATCGGTTGTGAAGAAGAAACAACGACCATCATAGGTGCCCACAACAGCAAATTTTCCATTCTTTGCAAAAGCAATTGCTGTGATGAATTTCACCTGTTCCACCTCATTCCACAGTGCCACTTTCTTGTCCGGAATATGCCACAGCCGAAGTTTGCCATCCAGTGATCCCGAAAGAAAATATCGATCGTCCTTGAACAAAAAACAAAGAAACTTCCCAATGCCAAAAATATCAAAATAACTGAATAGTTGGTGTGTGTGTGTGTGTGTGTGTGTGTGTGTGCGTGTGTGTGTGTGCGTGTGTATGTGTGTGTGTGTGTGTGTGTGTGCGCGCGCGTGTGTGTGTGTGTAGAGGATCCAACTGTTCTACTACATCCTGTAACCGCTAGTAAGGCCAAGATTGGTTAGTACCATCAAAATTTAATCGGACAAAACCGAACACAGCATCTTTTCTGCATGCTTAGATGTGCCAGTAAAGTGGTAAGAAGTCATGAAAAGCACTGCTGTCTTCATGCTCCAGAGTTTAACTCCGTCAGTGGAACATTCAGTCTTTCTAAAGAACCGCTAATTCGTCTAGGATCGTAAAATGGCACTGGCTAATGGCTAGGAGTTAAACCCACTAACAGCCTCCTTAAACAACTCTCAAAAGAAAAAGCTTCCGACAAACTTGTTAACAACTGTTTGATATAGTAGAATAGAGGGATTTGACTTGGACGTCAAAAAATTCGCATTTGTTATTTTTTCACAAAGCGAGCATTTACCGAAAAAACGACCGAACTTCATGTAAATAAATGGTAACGCGCACCAGACTAGCCGGTGCGATCATGCGTTTTGTGCAGTTCAGCCCATTGAACGATTGCCTGTTAATGATTTTCACTTCCTTGTACTTTAGTCTACGCAAAAATAGTTCAAACATTGAAAACATTTAAAAATTTCACGCACCAGCGCATGAAAGCTGAATTCGAAATTTGAAGGATGAATATCTCTCCATGATTCCCGAGTTAATAGTTTATCCGTCAAAATTTTCACGAGGCCGTAGGTGAAAACCGAGAGCGCGAGAACGCTGAATTTGAATAGGCAAGGTGGAGCGTGGGCAGGGGGTCATTATTCTTAAATTTCAGCCTCCTAGACTCCGAGGTTCCCAAGATATTAACTTACCCATGAATAACTTTCACGGGGCCGTACGTGTTACCCGCGGGTAAGGGAAGGCTGAATTTGAATGGGCAAGGTTAACTTTCACGGGGCCGTACGTGTTGCCTGCGGGTAAGAGAAGGCTGAATTTGAATGGGCAAGGTTGAGGGCGGGCAGGAGGCTGCCTTAAAACTTCAGCCTCCTAAACTCCGAGGTTCCCGAGATATTAACTTACCCGTGACTTACCCGTCGTGCTACCCGCGGGTAAGAGAAGGCTGAATTTGAATGGGCAAGGTTGAGGGTGGACAGGGGGTCATTGCCGCGGGGCCATACGTGTTACTCGCGGGTAAGGGAAGGCTGAATTTGAATGGGCAAGGTTGAGGGTTCACAGGGGGTCATTGCCCTAAAACTTCACCCCTGAACTCCGAGGTTCCCGAGATATCTAACCTACCCGTGAATAACTTTCATGGTGCCGTACGTGTTACCCGCGGGTAAGGGAAGGCTGCATTTGAATGGGCAAGGCTGAGGGTGGACAGGGGGTCATAGCCCTAAAATTTCAGCCTCCCAGACTCCGAGGTTCCCAAGATATTAACTTACCCGTGAAAAACTTTCACGGAGCCGTACTTGTTACCCGCGGGTAAAGGAAGGCTGAATATGAATGGGCAAGGTTGGGGTGGACAGAGGATCATTGCCCTGAAACTTCAGCCTCCTAGACTCCGAGGTTCCCGAGATATTAACTTACCCGTGACTTACCCGTGAAAAGGGGGTCGTACGCGTCACCCGGGGGTACGGGGAAGCTGAATTTAAATTTGCGGGGTCACACGTGGGTGGGGAACGTTCCCCTAAATTTCCCGCAGGTACGGGGAAGCTGAATTTAAATTTGCGGGGTCACACGTGGGTGGGGAACGTTACCCTAAATTTTTACGGGGGAGCTGAATTTAAATTTGCGGGGTCACACGTGGGTGGGTAACGTTCCCCTAAATTTTCAGCCTCCTAGCTTTTGTAGTTCCCAAGTTGAAAGTTGCGGACAAGTTGCTGCGGACACACACACACACAC